TAATAGATAAAGGAAATACTAATAATAATACTAAAGGTACTGATAATACTAAAAGGTACTTGGAGACTACCTTTAGGGATTTTTAAGGTATCTTCAAACGAAATCAAAATCGTATATATAAGAACCACTGAACACAGGTAAAAGAATAATAGATAAATTTCTGTCGGAATAATAGAAAAAGGAAATATTAATAGGCAATACTAATAATAATACTAAACGCACTGAGAATACTAAAATCTACTTGGAGACTACCTTTAGGGATTTTTAAGGTATCTTCAAACGAAATCAAAATCGTATATATAAGAACCACTGAACACAGGTAAAAGAATAATAGATAAATTCCTGTCAGAATAATAGAAAAAGGAAATATTAATAGGCAATACTAATAATAATACTAAACGCACTGAGAATACTAAAATCTACTTGGAGACTACCTTTAGGGATCATTAAGGGATCTTCAAGCAAAATCGAAGTCGTATAAGAACCATTGAGAAGGAAATATTACTAATAATACTAAAGGCACTGATAATACTGAAAGCTACTCGGAGACTACCTTTATGGATCCTTAAGGAATCTCCAAGCGAAATCGAAGTCGTGTAAGAACCTCGGAACAGAGGTAAAGGAAAATCACAGAAGGACATCGGTGATTGGCATTGCAGGTGAAAAACGCGAATATAAGATAGTCTAGTCTCGCCTGTCAGTTATGATCCAATGTCAAGCGACTATTATACGCGAGGTCGGCCTGCTTTGCGCGAAACTATCGACAGCCATGGGTTTCAGTGGTTCTCATCCGGAAGGAATTTCGAAATCCCAGTATTTTTGACACCTGTTTCCAAAAATCACCTAAAATCATTTTCAGCTAACTTCTGACATGGTGACACAGACGAAAGTGCATCACAAAATTCTCAAAAAGGGGAAGCTTAGCCATGGGTTTCAGTGGTTCTCATCGGGATGGAGTTTCAAAATCCCAGTGTTTTTTAATAATAATAATAATAACAATAATAAAAATAGTACTCTATTAACAAATAGAAGTTATTTGGTATACAATAAAAAATAGTCAAATGAAATATATTGATCAAATAATGTACGAATGTACATTAAATGATGTAATGTACATATGAATTCATCATAATTAGATAAAATGACAACATGTTTTATACTATGCACCGTGAGACTTAAAATTCAAGTCTAACATAGTAGTAACAACGTAGTAGTATAGTAGTACAGAAAGTAATAGAATAAAAAATACCTGTAATGATGTTAAAATAGTTTTAATTGACCTATTCCCAAAAATCACCCCCTGAAATCATTTCCAGCAAACTTCTGACATGGTGACACAGACGAACGTGCGTCGAGAATTTTCGAAAAGAAGATGCTTAAATTTAACCGGAATCCATTTTATCTGAAAGTCACCTAATTATTAAGAATCGAGGGTATCGCGAGGTGTTACGTAATCTCGGTTTTTTGACTCACGATTTCTTTTTTCCATTGCAAAACAACGAGATCAAGTAGACTTCGCGCGTTACATGTTTTCGCCGAGCAATCAACTTATCTGATTGCACGGTTAATCTGCGAGTAAATATTGTACCACGATATGGTAAATATTAGACGACGGATCTTTTTTAATACTAAAAAGGAGGAGAAAGAACACTCGATTCGAACGAATAGTCGTCGTTTTACGAGATGGATGACTATGAGAATCGGTTAGGCTGGTCCCTAGATGCGTGATTCGGAGATAGGCGAAGCATCAGTCGACGAACTCGCGAAATCGGATGGATATGACTATGGTGAGGATCCATGGGCGAAAGCTTCGCGATCGAAGTCACGATTTAAATCGCAATCGTGACCTATAATTGCGAAAAATCGGATAAATTTGACAATGGTAGCGGATCACCATGATGAGGATCCATGGACAACATCTTCGCGATCGAAGTCACGATTTAAATCGCAATCGTGACCTATAATTGTGACCTAAAAATCGGATAAATTTGACAATGGTAGCGGATCACCATGATGAGGATCCATGGACAACATCTTCGCGATCGAAGTAGCGATTTAACCACTTGCGGTGGTAAGAAATTCACAGACACGTGTGCCAGAACGGTCCAGTGCTCTGTAACAATTGCCTAACGACGTGAATACCACGTCATTGGCGATTCTGTGACAAAAGCATTAAGACGTGCGTGACACGTCGTTTGCGATTCTGTGACAAAAGCATTAAGACGTGCGTGACACGTCGTTTGCGATTCTATCACAAAAGTATTACGACGTGTGTGACACGTCATTGGCGATTCTGTGACGAAAGCATTACGACGTGCATAACACGCCGTTGGCGATTCTGTGACAAAAGCATTACGACGTGCATGACACGTCGTTTGCGATTCTATCACAAAAGTATTACGACGTGTATGACACGTCGTTGGCGATTTTGTGACAAAAGCATTACGACGTGCGTGACACGTCGTTTGCGATTCTATCATAAAAGTATTGCGACGTGTGTGACACGTCGTTGGCGATTCTGTGACAAAAGCATTACGACGTGTATGACACGTCGTTGGCGATTCTGTGACAAAAGCATTACGACGTGTGTGACACGTCGTTGGCGATTCTATCCCAAAAGCATTACGACGTGCGTGACTACGTGTATGACACGTCGTTGGCGATTCTGTGACAAAAGCATTACGACGTGTGTGACACGTCGTTTGCGATTCTATCCCAAAAGCATTACGACGTGCGTGAAACGTCTTTCCAGGGCAAGTGGTTAAATCGCAATCGTGATTTACAATTGCAAGAAATCAGATGAATCCAACAATGGTGGCAGATCGCCATGATGAGGCTCCACGAACGAAATCTTCGCGATCAAAATCGCGATTTAAATCGAAATCGTGATTTACAATGACAAGAAATCGATCGTACGTCAATTGGTACATCAATACAAACGACAGTAGCGTCTTATGAAAGGCGTGCCCACGCGATACAAGGCAAGTTTTATCGGGCAGGTACTCAATTGGCCAGTGGCTTGTTACCACGACATTGTCACGACATTGTCACGCTCGCGGTTAGGCGAATTGGTCAATCGATGACCATCTTCGTGCCACGAAGATGCAGAGATCTCGAGGGATAGGGAAAGTTCCATCGATTTGCTATTATCAGCGGAAGTGGAGGAACTTGAGGAACTCGAGGAACTGCAAACTGACTAATTAGTTAATCTGACTAATTAGTAATCGGATCTCGAAGATGCCATGGGAATATAGAGACTTTGGAAATAACGAAAGGTTTCGCAATCTTTTCTTCTGCCAGGGGCACCGGAAGAAGTGGAGGAAGTGGAAGAACTGGAGGAACTCGAGCGATTGAAAGTGCTCGAAGAAACCAAAAGCACCGAGGTCAACTGCAAAGAAGTCAAAGGAATCTACGTCTTGCCTTACTCTCCCACGATTTTACTCGTTTTAGCTTACTTCATCGTCATCGTTATCGAGCGATTTGAAAAATAGACGAGGTCTATCTTGGTGTAACAAATTTTTATCTCATGGCTGGTATCACTAATGCGAAAAGGTCCAACTAGACTATTAATAACGAGAATTAACCGAATACTGTAATCCTAATCGAGTATTCGGATAGGAAGAGCAGATGTCGATGATTCGAAGGCTTTGTTTGCGGGATTGTTACGAAATTGTACTATATTTGATAATTTTATGCAACGATAATACATGCCACATCGCTTTATGCAACACGATAAAAGTACGATAAAAGTGGGATAAAAATACGATAATAATAACAGCAATCGATCCGACATTAATAATAGCAATCGATTACGATTCCGAGAAACAGAGGTGGCCATTGTTGCTCGGATGTGTGTGCTACTCTAATCTTTGCGTGTCTTTCGCATAACACGTTTAGGGACACCATTATTCGCTATTTCTACAATGTAGCTAACGCGTACAGTTTACTAACCGTGATAATTCGAGCCTATTGTTCGTATTAGCACCATTATTCGCGATGCGGGACAAAATGGCACTACTGCGCCTCTTAGCCGTGACGCTCGGCGAGGTGACTCTATTTCGGTCATTTTGCTCGGTGCGCTGTTTAAAATTCGACTAGGATTCTTTCGAGTAGGTGGACTACCCGATAACTCTGCGCTTTGGGTTACGAATCGGAATGACCATCGCTGCTAATTTTAATTTGCCATTCTAAACAGTGGTCTCGGCTCTATCGCGCTCTTTCTTCTCTTCAGGGCCATCGTAATCGTTCTATTTTCAGTTCCACGTTACGTAATTATTCCGTACACATTCAGCAGAATTTTCCATTGTTTCCCGCGACGAATCGTCGTAACACCATTCTTCCGCAGGGTCAGACGAATTAAGAAATACTGCGTTATGCACGGAGTGGGCGTATTCGATTTTTGCGTAAAATTGGTTATATTTCCTTGTTAGAGATTATCTTCGAAGAGC